GACACCAACCCGTCGGGTCCCAACTCGAGTGCTTTGACGTTTACCCCGTGCTCAATCATCTTTTGCTTGACCGCGCCTTCCGGGATGTTCATCTTGAGCATCTTAAAGTACTTGCCGTAGACAGGATCGTCCTTGAGAAGCAGTGGTTTGCCAGGGAGTCCGTCTGGCGTCGTCAAGTCTGACACCAATCCGTCGGGACCGAGCTCCAACGCTTTCTCGTTCACCCCGTGCTCCTTCATCTTGAGTCGTACGGCTTCCTCGGGGATGTTGAGCTTGAGCATTTTGAAATATTTGGCATAAATAGGGTCGTCTTTTAGCACCGCGGGTTTTGGCGACGTGGTTGTGGAATTCAACTCGGAAACGAGCGCGCTCGGGCCGAGGACGAGGGCGTGGGGGTTCACCCCGTGCTCGACCATCTTGAGGCGCACCGCTTCTTGTGGAATGTTGAGTTTGAGCATTTTAAAGTACTTGCCGTACGTGGGATCGTCCTTGAGGGTGAGTTTCCCGTCGGCCATCGGGGAATCTGGTGCCGGTGCCTTCTCCGGCTCGTCTTCGTGCTTGCCAGGGGGACCGGCGCTAGTTGCCGATGCCGTGGTTGCGCTCGTCGGTGGGTTTTTGACTCGGTGGATTGTCGTGGCTGGAGTTGTTGTCGATTTGTTTGGGCTTGGAAGCGACACCGTCGGTTTGTGCGGGGACGTGGACGGTTTCTGGGGCGACGGGGCTTTGGGGGGAGATCGTGGTGGCTGAGTGTACTCTGCCTGCAGCATTTCAATTTTGTCACGAACTTCCATGTACACAGAGTTGGGGTCCAAGTTGAGAATGTCCGGGTTTAGTCCACACATTTTCATCTTGTGCTTGACAGCATCTTTCGAGATGCCTTTCTGGAGCATGGTAAAATACCCCTCAAACTGGATCGCGTCCTTGAGCAAGAGGACGTCCGACTGCTTGTGCTGGGCAAGTTGGTGTGCGAGTGGTTTGGATGGAACGTAAGCAGCAAGTCGCGACGGATCGACGGCGACGCCATCGCGGACCATGCAGTTCTGTGCTGCTTCAAGCGGTACGCCATTGTCAATCATGCGCTCGTACTTGGCTAACGACGCGTCGTCTGCGCCGGCCGCGGCGGTGGGGGTCGAATTCCCACTTGGAGCTTTGGCATCGGCGACTCTGAGCAAATCGTCCAACGACAGGCCCTTTTCGTCGAGCAAAAGCCGGAGTTTTTCCAACTTTTGCTTGGTAGGAGAGCTCTTGCTCTGAGGCGAGTCACTGGGTAAAGGCGCGTCGGCGCGGTGCTGACACGTGCAATCTGCGCATGTCCACGTGCTGAAAAACTTCTTCATGTACGCGGCGTGGTTGGCACGGTCGCTCATGGTCGTTAGGCCAAACGGGATCTTTTTCAGCCCTGCGCAGCCCGTGTGAAAGAAGTGCTGGCACCCGCCAGCACAGCGCACGAGTTGGGGACGCAGCACGTAGTCTTCTTCCCTGCAGACTGCGCACACGGCTTCTTGGTAGTTCACTGCACTATTCGCCTCGATCGTGGTGGAGGGTTTACAACGCGGTGGAGGTGCACTGTCGGTGGATGAGTGACGCCTACTGAGGTCGACGTTGGTACGGACATCGCCACGCAAAATGCCGTCGACATGGGTGGATTGGCGTCGGCTCACATTCGGGGACGCACTCCACTCCGTGGCGACGGCGGTAGTGGTGTGGAATCGAATCGCTTCGTCCGTTGTGGACTGAAGCAAATTCGAGCTGCTTCCTGTGAACCCTTTCAAGCCAGCGCCCGTTGCCGCGAGTTTGGACGGCGACGGGTGACTTGGAAGCGGAAGCAGGCGCGTAAAAATCGTAGAGATGCCCTCCGAATGCAAAATGTCCAAGGCAAGGTTCGGCGCGTTCTCGGCGCGCTGCAGTGCAAACGTCGACGCGGTCGCGTCAAAGCCAGTCTTGATAAAGTTCAAGTACATGGACGGGTCGGGGGCAATCGTGTGGTGGCTCGCCATCTCCACGATGCCTTGCTTGACTGCGTAGTTGCCTGTGTAGTTGACTGGAACGAACGGCTTGGGCTCGACGGTCGGGTTATCATGGAAAACCATGTCGACGCTGAAATTGTCTTCGTCAAATCCGTGTTCGTACTGCTTCATCATGTCCAAGCACGGCTTCTTGAGGGTGACGAGTCCTGCCGAGAGGAACCATGTTGAATTCATGTACCGAAACAGGACGCGGGACGTCGGGTCGGACGATGTGTCGGCTTGGTAGTCGTCGCCAAACGAGCACAGGATGGAGAAGCCGCCGTCGAGGGGAATCCCAGACTCCCACAGAATCGCGAGGAACCCGTCTTCGGGATTCCAGTCGATGACGGGCTTGGCGACGTCGTCGGTCGCCGCCGTTGAAAACACCATCTTGTCATCGTCCCACAGCTGCACCAACGGCGCCATCTCGACCGGCAACGCGCGAAACATGATGGCTTTTAGTAGCAGCGGCTCTGGGTTCGGTATCGTTTGCGCGTTCATGATGATGGAAAAATTGGATACAAATCTATACCATCATGTCGACGCGTCAATACGAGAGATCGATCAAACGAGATGACAATGCCGCATTCGCATGAAGGAATCATGCGCAACCCCAAGACCATCAACCCCATGCAGACTCGTCAAGGCAAAAGGCAGCACAAGTGAAACGTGGAAACGATCCTAGGAATGTTTTCCTTCGAAAGGACACCTCCAGGAGCAACAACGCGCGCTACGTCTCCTCAGCAGCGCGGCGCACAGCGGTGCCCTCCGCTTGGACCAGCAACATCATCCATGGATACAGCGCCACACGAAATATCAAAACCCGAATCGCCCCACAGTGCACACACCACAAAATAACTTTATGAGTGGATCGGAGGAGAATAGTGTTGAATCATTTTTTCAGTTTTCGACACATGCGATGGATACAGCACCACACAACTTATAAAAATCGACAAAAGCGGACCGAAGTATGGAGGCATTTCGACATCTCAATCGCGCAGACGTCGCAAAGGATTCAGAGATAGATGGTGTTACCGTTGAATCGAAATGGGCATGCTCCGCTTGACATATTCGGGAGTGAGGGTGTCGATGCCGAGGCGTTTCTGATAGAACTGCGCCAACGCGGACATCGGGTCGTCGACCGTGCGGACAAACAAGAAGTAGCACGCGCAGATGACGCCACTGCGGGTCTTTCCATTGTGGCAGTACAACAGCGCGACGTTCTCAGCATCCAATGCTAACCAGGCAAAGATGGCATAGCAAATTCGAAAGATGTGGTCCGCGGGCGGGGTGTACGTGCGAATTCCGCCGTCTCGTTCCCATGTAAAATCGAGAGTTTGTGGGGAGATCACTGGTGCGTCCGCGTTGTCGTCGGTCAGGTTGAACACTACATACTTTCCGTTGTGGGCGGCATCCAGGTACGCTTTCATTTCCGTCGCGTTGTTCACGCAGCTCATCTTGTCGGTAGGTCCGTCGACGGCACGTCCACCCACGAGAAGTCGTGTGGTAACATACGTCAAGTCGAGGTGTTTGTACGACGGGACAGGTGGGAGGTTCGAGTTCTGTTGGGGTGGAGATGTCGCCGACGGCTTCAATGAACTGTCCACGACATAACTGGCGAGCTTCCGCAGCTGGTTCATGTCGAATCTCCTCGCTACTCCTCTCTTCTTAGATGGACACGTGAGGATGAGTCTTTAAGGCGTGGGGTGTTCACCGGCAGCGTCCAAGTGCGAGCGGAGGTTGGCGAATGCGATGTTGATGCCGCGTCGGTCGTTTCTTTGAATTAATGAGCCGGATAATTTGCTTCAATGAAACGGTTGCTTCTAACAGCAAATCTTATGGAGTGATATTCTTCATATTTCTCACACAGTACATATATTTTTACATACTTGCTCTAATTTAGGCATATTCTGTTGTTGATTATACCTAAAGTAGTATATATGGCTCCTTGTGGAATTATCCGGAAGTCAAAAATTTCGTGAGACCACAGTACATTCGAATATTTTGTGTTCTCCGTCCAACCAACGAAACCTGTAATATTTCATATTTATCAAAACTGTAATGTTATTACTAATACTAGTAGTACTCTCAATAAATGAATATATTTACTGTTAATCAATTTGAACTTTCGCGCTTTTCGACGTTCATGACAAAGAAGCGGAAGCGCGCGAATGCGTCAGGCATTGTCGCGGCGTGGGAGCTCTTCTGGGACGCAATCGAGGACGTGTCAATGGAAGTCCCAGACCCGGACCATCTCATCTCGATGTTCAAGGCGGAGCCGAGAGACCAGGACGTTGTCGTTGTTGAACGCGCATTGAGCATGCAACCAGTTGACACTGTCCTCCACGACCTCGAGGCGCTGTTTTCTGATACGTTGGAGCTTCAACGCATGCTTACGTCTTTCTCAGAGAAGGACAGCTTTATGCGCATCCTGTTGCGCAATGAAACGATCCAAACGCCGTTGGTGAACCTTTTGATGGAACTCTTGAGCGAGCTCGCGCAGAAGGCGTCCGAAGAAGTTGTCGGCGCTGGTGCAAGCATCACGAACAGCGTCATGCCTTCATCTGGATTGTGCAGTCTCATTCTACGGCACATTCGGTGGATCGAATGCGTATTCGACCCTTCCGCATTGACCGAGAAGTTGTTGACGTCGTTGAGCACGTATCCCTTGTTTCTGCAGAAAGACATCATTCATATCCTTCCCGAACTCGTTTCCGACCGTGACTTTCAAGTACGTTCGCGCCCAAGTCAAAACTCATCCCTCATTTTTCGTCGTTGTAGCTCGCCGTGGACACGTTGCTGGAAACGATCGGCAGTGAGAACGAACTAGTTGTACCCGCGATTGAAGCGCTGTCGAATTTCAACATGCCCGCGGAAATTTCTGACGAAGTCACGAGCTGCATTCTCGGTCGCTTGACGTCTTCGTCGCTCGAGGATATGCCTGCGCTCCTCCGCTTCCTCGTCCAAACAATGACAGAGTCGACCGCGTCGTCGATGCTGAACACGATTCGTGAAAAAGTTAGCGATTGCATCAAGGCATCGTCGGACGCGAGGATGGATTCATCTCAGGATGAATCGTTTCTGCTCCAGCAATTCGTGCATGGCATGATTTATCGCACCGACCTCCTCGACCATTTCTTAAAACTTTTGGCCAAGACATCGACAGGCAACGGGTACATCATGGACGTGTGGTGCCTTGTGGGGTTCCACAGCTCCCTGGCCGGACCGATGAAGGCCAAGATCGAAGCCATCTTCGTCAAGAAGGTCGCCCAGGGAAACTTCTCCAGGGAGGTGTTAGTTGAGTCGCTGGGACATCACCTTCGCGGCCTCACGCCGTATCTGAGTTCGGTCGTACTCGTTACTGGCGCGCTGCTCCAAAGTCCCGACGTGACGGATCAAGGCAGGTTTGTCTTTTCGCTTCTTTTCAACGAGCTTTCGAAAGCTCGTGAGCCACTGTACGAGTTCCAAACGCAGGTATGCATGCGCGTACCGCCGTCCTGACTCTTAATACCCCACACACATTGGCGTCATCGACGATATAGATCATATCGGACTTGGTGGACTTCGCCATGTCGAGCGTCACGTCCACCGTTGACAGCGCGCTGGCGACGCTCCTGGCCATTGCAACGCATGAGCCCCAGCGTTTGGACAAGTACCTTTCGTTGCTGAAGCACTTGCTCGACTGCATCGAACGGTTCAATGTCGACCAATGTCGCCAGGTGTATCAGTTGCTTTACCGCGTTGGCGGGAGCGGCAACGCCGACTTGTCCATCACGGTGCGTAAGCAACTGTACCACCTGGACAACCAGTACCGAAAACTCGGTATGATCGGGTACGTGTGCTGTATCGAGGCCGAGGTGGACGCGATGGGTGATGACGGCACGCCTGGCCTGGACGAAAGCGAAGTGAACCCAGCGCGCGATCAGTTTGAAAAGAAGATCCGCGACCGCCTCGACATTCTCCGCGATGCGTGTCGAAAACAAGCAAAGGCGCTGTCGTTCATGTATGCCGAGCTCAACCACTTCGTGAACCGCATGGACAGTCGGCGCCACCCAAATGTTGTCGCGATTTTCGATGAAAAATTCTCGGAAGTTCTCATGAATGAGTTCTTGCCCATCTTCGACGCACGCATCCACCAGCAAGGCGGGTACAAGCGACCGGTCTTCAACGGTGCCTTCCACTGCGACCAATGGGCCATAACTCGCATGAACGTACGTGAAATACGCCACGGAGACTTGTCATCACGCGTGAGTAGTCGCCAGTGTTCCTTCAAATCATGACATTGGTGGCATCCCAAGACACGATGGAGCGTCCTTTGTACCTGTACAGCTTGCTCAATCTCGTGGTATCATGCTATAAACAGTCCGACACACTCGAGAATATCGGAACCGTCCTCATTTGCCCGATTTTGCTCATGGAGTATGTTGAAAATGGCCTAACCACCTATGTACTGACAAGTCGTCGTGGTTTATACTTGTAGGAAAAATGCGATCGCGAACCTCGGCACGATGGAGAAAGACGCTCAGGACGGGGTGTTCCTGGCCTTGTGGCATGGCGTAAACTGGTGTCGAGAACTGTTGAACTGTTTTAGCTCGGACGTGTCGTTGGCCGGGAAGGTTTTGACACGGCTCGAGAACGCCGTGGAGTTGGAATCAATTTTGGAGGACGCCATCATGAACGCCCCGACGAGTGTGTGGCTTCCGCAAGGCATCGAGATTGTCACAGGCACGTGCACGACCGACGCCACGTTCGGCCGGCGACAGTCCAGCGAGTCGACCAAAAAGACCGATCCCAAAAGCAAAGGCAAGGCTGCCACCCATGTTCAACAGCGCCTCGCCACCATTCGCAGCTCCTTCACGCCGTTGAATTCCCGTGTCGTGGGCGTGCTGCCGCGCATGAAAGACAGCATCGACCCTCGGTCATTTCACTTTTTGCTCGATCATTTTCTCCGCGTCCTGCGCAAATCCCTCGTGAAAACGTACACAACCGCGCCGCATTGGGCCGCCAAACACGCACCGGTGACCACCCATTCAAACCCGTCGCTTCTCGTCCACAGCGGCTTCGTGGACCTTGCCCCTGGCTTTGCCATGTTCGAGACTTACCTCAAATTCCACTTGTTGAATGTTGCTAACAACTTCCGATGGGTACTGGATGCGGTAGAACCGCCCCCGACACCAATACTGCATGCCTTGACATCCAAGTACATTCAATCCATCGTGGTCATAGCAAAAGCCGACGCAGTGTTTGAGCAACATAACCAGCAACGCCTCCAGCTGATGGCACTGCAGCAGCTTATCCTACCCGTCGAGCAGCACGTGCAAGTGGACGTTGTGGACCAGTCTGCAACGGTACATTCAACTGCTTGTCTTTTTCCGTCCGAAACCATCGACGGTGTTCCAAGCGTTCGCTGCACTGTCATCCCTGCTACGAAGCTGACATCGGTGACTTCACGCTTGTTGCATGCCTGTAGGTTCTCGGCGCCATGTCGGACGCCTTGTTAAGCTTGCAGACCGTGCCATGCATGGACATTGACATCGCCGTGCATCTTGTGACGGCGTTGGTGGCGCTGGAGCGCTTAAAGGTCAAGTGGAACGGCCTCCAGAACAAAGCAATCTTGTTCTCACCGCCTCGTGGCCCCGTGTCGCCGCTGGCCGAGCTCGCGCTGGGGTATCTTCGCCGGGACTGGTCGACGCAAGCCGCGGACAAGGCGTTTTCGTACAAGACGGCCGACTTGACGACACTTCTCGACACGTATTTTGAGTTTTCACCGCATCCGCTCGACAGTGTTCAGGACGTGGCGTGCTGCGGCTTTGTCAATTTGCTCGAAAACTACAACGCGAACGTGTCGAACGAGTACTTTCCCACTCTGTGTACGTCGGCTGCACGATGCCCCACAAACTCTAGAGGTCGTGGCTTGAGCATGTTGCCCGTGTCTAGCCAAGAAAACGATGGGGGTGTTTGTCCGCGCGAGCATTGAGACTGTCGTGCGCGCGACATCGCGGCTCGACTACTCCGACGACGCGCCATCCAATCCAGCGCACCTGCTGCACTACTTGCACCAAGCGTCGCTCTTGTTCAAGCTCCTGGTTGGCCTCACGCGGAGCTTTCACACGAGCATGGTACGTCGTCGGTGCATCGTACTCCAACGGATCGTCGTCGTCTAGGTGGTCGCTGCTGTGCTGAAGCATGGAACTGGGTTCGTCCAGAACATCCTGCGCGCGATGCCGTACTTTGAACGTCACTTCGTCGGTCACTCGACGCGCATTCTGGCGACTTTCAAGGAGGTCCAAGGGGGGACGAGGCGGCTCCAAGTGCTCTGTGCGCATGGAAAGCTCATCCAAGATGCGTCTGCGGCCGCCCAAGTGCCCAAGCTGAAAAGGTTGTTGGAGCGACTCATCTACGAAACGAGCAAACTCGCCCGGGAACACAACTTCATGGACGCGTTCTCAACGGGGATCCTAAAGCAGCGCAACTTGGACGGGTCTGCAGCCCAACCGGACGACGACGGCAGTTCTGACAACGATGAGGATGGGGACGAAACCGAGGCGGAAAACACCGAAATCGACGATGACGACGGCGAAGAAGAGTAAGGGGTAGCCGAGACGTACCAACTGACGATGACGGCCAACGTTTTAACACAGAACGCAGCCTGCCCCCAGTTGGGTTGTCATGGTTTATCCAACACGCTTCGTTTGGGAGCCGTTGGTGTGTGTTCTTTCTGGGTGGCGCAACGGAGCGGGGTTGGAATCGTCGACCACAACGTGGAGTCGAACGTTGACCATTTCCCCGTGACTGTCCTACTCGACTCCGCGCGACATGTCTCGAGCCGCGTTGAATGCGATCGTTCGCTCAGTCGGATCATGCATCCGAACTCGTGGTGTGCACACTTGCACGGACGTGGCCGATCCCTTTTGTTGCCAGTGCGTCCTCTTGCCGCAGCATCCGTTGCCGTTCTCCCCGCAGGCATGTTGCCTGCGCGGAACACGAAGGCCGGTGCTGGTTTGGTCGTCGATTTGGCAGCTCTGGTCATGACTCCCACCAGTGGCCAGGCTTTGTTCCTTACACCATTTACCTTTGAGCTACATCCCCATCACTGTGGCGTCTGCTCTGTGGAAGGCATCTACTTCTTCGTCCCTTGCGCATCCCTTGGCAAAGGCGAATGCACCCTAACTCTCCACCTGAAGGGAATGCAATTTGGTATCGTTGGACAAGAGTCGACAAATCCTTCGTCAGTCTCCATGCCGTGGTGTGGTGGGCTGATGCAAGGACTACATGCCGGCAAGATGAGGTGATGCCGACGCGTCGCTCCGAATCCGTCCCGACCCTTTCGCCACGTCACGCCCAACGCAAGCACACATCGCATTCATGACCCGAGATCAAGAGGCGCATGATGCCGCAGCCAGGGTGTGGAGACTGCATGAACAATCGCCATGATCGCATGGCACGGCACTGATTCATTCATGGCGCGGCGACGCACCACCGAAATTTGTTGGAGCTGGTGACCACAGCGCGATGGCTACGTCATTTCGCCAACACAACCACGACGCCATTCAGGTCCCTGGCGCTCACCTACACCGTCGCCATGCCCGATGGAGGACAGAGGAATGGTTGCCCGCACGATTGTCATCGTCTTCGTCATCTACGAGAGTTGGCGGCAGCGACTGGACATGCGATGCCCCCAACAGTTTTGAATGGCAGTGTTGGCAAGTGCAGCACGTAACGGCGGTACAAGTTACCCCCTAGGCGATGGTTTCGCCGTCCAGGCACTGGCGATGGTGGACTTGGAAGTCGTCATCCTGGGACCGCTCGATGCGCGAAGACTGGATCCAGTGGCGACGCGCCATGCTTGCAAGCGTGAGTTGTGAGCGGGAAATCCACCTCGAGCGAGGGCCGCCGCCCCGACTTGTTTCCGAGACAAAGATGGAGGGCTTCCCCTCTCCTTCGTTGTCCAAACTCGATAACGACACTGCGCTATTTTCGTCGCCGGCGCAGCTGTCCGCATGAACGCACTGCCGACAATGTCGAGTGCAGCGGGCGAGCGCGCTGGACGTGCGTGGTGCAGCAGGGCGGCGGGTGTGCCATGGCTAAAGTACCTCGTCATCTTGACCTCCATGGCGAGTGGCATGTACCTCCTCGTGGTCGACGTCGGCGGCGCCATTGCGGCCTGTCAAACCCTCTACGGCTACGACAGCGCGAAGCGAGGATATACCGTGTACGAGTCGCCGACAATCCGTCGCTTCCTCAAGATGGGCATCGTCAACCGCACGAGACAACTAGACCAAGTTGCAGGCGCGGTTGCCGCCAGGCAGCGCATCATGTACATCGAGGCCCACGAGCACGACCCTGACGACTACGTGATCGTGTACGGCAACTGCTCCAGCCTGGGCGGGTACCAGGATGGCGACCGATTGTACGCCGACTGGCACATGCTCCCGCTGCTGCAGCACATCCTCGTCGGGATGAACTCGTCCGTCAACTTGTCAGGTGACGAAATCACCCACGTCGCGGTCGTCGACTGTGCGTACAGCGGCCGCGTGTTCCAGGACACGTCCATGTTCAAGGGGTACCTCGTCGACGTGGCGTTGACTACGATTACGTCGTTTGCGCTGCAGACGATGAGCGCGATGCGAGAGAGCACTCGCATGGAAGGCCAAGTAGGGCCAGTTGTGGTGTCGAAAGCGTCGTGGAGTCAATTTGCCCTCGGGCCAGACGACGCCGCCGACCTGCCGCGCTTTGGGCTGCACTACGATGGCGTGTCCGAGTATCGAACGCTTGTCGCGTTTAACTTTCCATACGAGGTGGGCACACCATTCCACGACGCCACACGCATCACAGACGGCCGCGCGATGCGACTCAACCAGTGGCACTGGCGCGTCAAGGCCACAAACGAGCTGATCGTGATGAACGGGTACTCGGGTTCGTATGCGTCGCATTCCACCGATTGCTCTGACATGTTGCGATGGCTGCGATAGGGTACTACCGAGGGAGCAAGGACGCCCAGACGAATTTTGTGCGGTATGTGCTGTCGATGGACGACGATCCGGTGCGGGACTTGTGCGTCGACTACTTTAAAGCGCAGGGATACAACAAGGATTCGAGGACGTGGCTGCATGCGATCGGGATCGTGTCGGCGGTGGTCCGCGTGGTGTATCCAGCGATCGTGGCCGTTCACGTCGCGGTGGTGTCGCTCAGGACGTCGTCGTTCTGGCTCCCCGACGTGTGTCCCAACACCATTCGCCAGCTCTACTTTCGCGCGGCATGGATTGCGTTCACTTGGACCGTCGATCGATTCTGGGTCGTGCACGAGTGGGTGCTGACGGTGGGGTATACACGATATGATCTCGAGCCGATGGTCGCCCCCGATGACCTCGTCCGCAGCGACTGCCTCACGTGCTTTCTTGTGCTGACCGACGTTGTTGCGACCGTTCTTCGCATCCCCATCGTGCCCGTCGTGCCCGTTCTCGTGTATGCACTGTGCTACACCGCCCGGGAATCCCTCGTCCAAACATTCACGACGGCTGCCATGGAGGTCGCGGTCTCGAACTACATGAACGACTTTTACTTGCGCAACCTGATCGCGTCCTCGCCGACAACCATGGACTTTTGGACGCTGTACGAGCTGTCGCCGGGCGACCCCCCCACGTGGTTGATCATGCGTGAATTTGTTTGGTTCTTTCTCCCGTGTGGTGCCATCGTCATCGGCCTCGTTCTCGTCAAGGTGGTCCGACTTGTCCACGCACGGCCGCGCGTCGCTCAGGCGGTCGATGCCATCGTCGTGCAGGCCGACCCGACGACCATCATGGACAACACGGCGCACACGCTCCAGTACCTAGCGCCATTTCATCGGGTCCGCGAGGATGGCACGTGTGGCATTGTGTCTATCTTTCCGACACTCGAGTCTCGCCAGGCCATGGCTGGCCCGCAGCTGGATGGATCGATGTTTCGCCTCAGCAAAGCGAGTGTCTGGGCCGCAGGATGGGTTCTCCTTGACGTGCGCTTCCTGGTCAGGATAGAGGACCTCCCGACCTTTCTCTTCAACGGCCTCCATGCGTCCAGCCTCGCCAAAGTGTACGGATGTCCCGTTGAGAAGCGCGAATCTCATCCACGTGGACCCGTCGACGGCGGGGCTGGCGTCATGATTTTGACGCCGCGCCTCGTCCCGTTGCCGCCAGCGGCCCTGACGATAACAAGCCTCGGCCATCTCAGCTTAGAGACGCTCTGGGTCGACGAAATCCCCGTGTCCGACACCCAAACCACGATCACGACGGCGCTGCGACGAGGTAGTCGGCGATTGTTTTGTCAGGAGCGAACTAACTGGCGTTTTAGCGTCGTCTCGGGCGTCCGCGGCGCCATCCCAGCGCTCCCTAGGCTCTCGACGGTCCCAATCGCAGACGACCCCCACGGTATCCCAACTCCGGCCACCGTCTCGATCGACGTCATCTCGCCACCTGTCGCGCCATCGAGGCTAACGTCGAACCGATGTTGGCATGGCTTGTTGTGGTCCACTCGCTGTAGTCTTGGTCAGCGAGGCATCCGCCTGCCATGCGCTCCTTCGACGGTCTCTGTCGACGCCTCTCGATCGACTGCCACTTCCATGTCTCCAGTGGTTGTGAGCTCGTACTACCTCCATTGCGCTGGTCCGGACGGGGCAGCGAGTTTACAACAACGCACAATTCGGTCCAAAATTCTACAAGCTGGTTGCCTCACTCTAGCCTGCACAAACCCCACCGAGACGCACGCGCGATGGCCTGCGGCAGCTCAGCACTTCCCTACGCGATGCCTTTTTTCGACACTCGGGATGTCGATCGGCTGACTGATCGACTGACTCTGCCGTGGTCGCTTTCCTCTGGGGACCGTGGCGACCTCGGGTCCATCGCGTGGGCGGAGGAGCTGTGCAAGTCCAAACACGTCAACATGGCGGACGCGCGTTTGTAGCCGACGATTGGCATTGGCGCATGACGCGACCCTCGTTCATGTCCGCCACAAGAGCACGACGTCCCCATGCTGGTAGCCACCATCGTCGACTGCGCTGTAGCTGGCATGACCAGGTCAATCCAATCAAAGATGCCTTGGAGCTAGGATGAATGTCGATCTATGTCGTGCCAGCGGGCTGGTCGGAGCATTTCCAACCTACGACGGACGTATCAGGGCTGTCTGGTGCCATCTCGACACGCATCCACTCGCTGGAATCGCTGCCATGATGAACAAACCGCGGGGGCCATCGTGGGTTGCGAGTCCTGGTCGTGATGACCACTCGGCTCGACGCGGCAAACTGCCTCGAGCGACGACATGGTGTGTACGGCGTCGGTGAAATGGCGTCCAGGCGGCTGCCGACGCCCTGCTACGAGGCGCTTTTGTTGTGATGCGTTCCAAGTCGACCTCATGCATCTGTAGCTCCGACCACGGTGCGGCGTGCTCGACATCTTTCGAAACACGTTTCTGGACGTGTCGACAGCTGCCCCATCGACAACGATCACGACGTGCTTCAGATGAGCCCGACGCTGGCTTCAGGCACTTGCCAAGGAGGACGGTGTGCGTGAGGCAGCATGCGGGAGACGTCCCTGGCCGCTTCGACCGGTGCGTGTTATCGCTGGGGACGGCCACCGCTCACGCTATGACGGTTCAAATCCGGCGCCACCGCTGGAGATGTGTGGTCATCATCTAGTCGACGGCATGTGCTGTCAACCGAGTTGCAGCATGCAAACGTGCGGACGCATTCCCGTTGTTTGACTGCGGAAAATGGGCGGCATAACGATCTCGATCTTGGCATCTTCGCAAAACGCGATTCCGAGTCGGATCTTCCATTCTCTCGACGGTGCCTCCTCCGCCTGCACGTACGAGGGATGCGGTCGACTCGCACGCGAGAGCATGCGGCCACACGGACGCATGCCGTCGAGGTGCATGCAACGGTCGTCTCGATGTCATAGCGGGCAGGCACATGGCGACGGAGCATCGTTTCGAACGGACGTCGCCCACTCGATGACGCATCGACGAGACAAACGATGGTGCACAGCGTCGTGATGATGTGCTTTTACGACTCTGTCTACAGGATGTCGCTGACGATGCCTGCCGCCAACGTGATGCCGCGGTCGCGAAGCGTAAACCGGCCGAGGCTGCGAAACTCGGCAAACACTTCGAGGCAGAGCGGCCGGTGGGTCGTGATTTGAATGACCGCCGAACTGTTGCGCGTAATGCATCGCGGCTTTTTCTTGTCGACGTCGCCCGACTTTTTGAGGGTGCTCACGAGGCGTGTCACGTGGACGGGTTCGTCCATGCTGTGCATGTGCAGCGTCATGCACGTGCCTTTGACGATTGGGATTTCGAGTCCCGGCATCGTCATGATCTGCGCCTCAAACTTGCGCACCATCTAGAGCTGCAACGTCAAAGCAATTTGCTTCCCATGGCGCGGACACGGCCATACCCGGACGGGCGACACGATCGAACACAAGATGCTGCCGACAAACAGCGCCGACGGATCGATCCCCACAAGACCCAAGTCCATGTTGTCGCCGGCCGACGCGGTCAGCACCGGCATCCCGTTTAGTTCCATCGCTTTCACCGTCGCGCGCACGCCCCCCGGCATCACGAGCACCTGCCTCCATGCGTGAAAACGAGCCGACGATGTCCAGACCTACCGTGTCGCCCGTGCACAGCGCGCCCGTGTAAATGCGCCCCGACACAGTCAGCCCCAAGCTCATCGACCTGGACACGTCAGATACGGCCATGCGGAATGGCTTCGAGATGGGCCGTTGCGGCGGCGCAAACGTATCTAGCCACGGCTAGCCATCAGCGTCGATCGATGTCTTGCGGTGTCCCACCGATCGCTTGCACCAAGGTCGGTCCCAGGTACCATGCCGCATCCGTCACATCGTCCACGGGGCTGATGAGGTTCTCTCCAGTCAACCCACTCACGGGTACAAACCTATTCCGAACGCATCAGCTTGGGGTTTTTGGCATCCATGGCGCACCGCAACTGGTCGAGCTTGAAACCCGACTGGACCAAGAACGTTCGGAGCACGGTTTGGATGTACTCGAATCGGTCCTTGGACCAATGCACCTGCGCCATGACGACATTATTCAATCGACCAACGACGAAAATTCCGAGCGCACCGAGTCCATCTTGTTGACTGCGACAATCATCTGGCTCACGCCGAGGCTGCGCACGAGGAGCGTGTGTTCCTTGGTCTGACCGTCGCGCTCAAACGACGCCTCGAACTCGCCCGTCGAGGCTGGTACGACCAGCACCGCCACGTCAGCCTAGTCGAGATGAATCCGTGGCGATCGGCAGGACGTTGCAGTACCTGGGAAGCGCCGGCAATCATCTTGGGAATGAAATCGCGGTGGCCAGGCGCGTCCAACAGCGTTACGTGCTTGGATGGCGTGGCAAAATACGACGTGCCAACGTCCATCGTCACTCCGCGCGATCTCTACAACCAGCACATATCATCGTCGATGGCTCGAGAAATGGGGCTTTGCATCCAATATGACTTGTCCACTGGCGGTGGTGTAGCACTGGTTATGCTGGTCCCCGGAGAGAGCATGGCCAAGAGGAAACACCACGAGATAATATTCGCCTTCATGCCAAGCGCAGGAAGGCTGGCATGCACAGCAAGCAGGTGCACAGATTCGCCAGGCAGGACAAAGCACACCAGATCTTGACACCCACAAGAGTACACAGCCAGGGGGTTTGCATGTGGCATTGCCGTCCACACGCAGCATGCGGCATCCAAATGCACGCATGACCACGAAGAGCAAGGAAAAGCCACGGCATTTCATCCAGCAGTCCATACACTCTCGCCCGTCCACCAGGCTGAGCCATTACCTCTTCTTCGTCGGCATCCATGACCCATGCAAACGCGAACGATGCTTTCCCGGCCTCGCGGCTCTGTTTTTCATACTTGTGCATGATTTGCTTGCTCACGTATCTGTGATCCAGCACGTCCGTAACGCAGATGGATTCGCTCGGTTGCAGTGTACCCCAGACGAAAGAGAAGGTGGCCGGTGATGGTGCTCTTGCCAGCGTCGACGTGTCCAATCACGACCATACTAATCTTGGCCTTGCCGTCTTGTTGCTGCGTCGTAAGTGCCGCCGCGCCTTTTTCTTGCGCTGCCCGCTCCGCCTTCTCAAATGTTGCACGCTCGGCCGGTGTCAGGGCCGACGGGTAAACGCCGCTGCCAGTAGAGGTTGTCGATGTCGGCGCGGCGACAGGCGCTGCCGAGCTGGCTCCGCCTGTGACATCCATGATTAGCACGGCCGCAGCACCGCGAAGCCTCGCGGTGGAAGGAGTGAAAGCCATGGTGACGGAGGATGCACGAGATTGGAGAGGGACGTTCGAGCACCTTTGGCAGGGGGGGCTACGGTGGCGGTGGCTGGCGCCTTGACGGTTGTCTGTTGTTGCTTCTCGCTGATCGAGAGCGCTTGCACCTTGGGAATGACAACTTGCGTCGGCAGCGCCTTGACTGAAGGACGAGATGAGGACGGGAATGTCGTGAAATATGCGCAGGGTCGAGTGGCTACCAGCAATTTGAGACGTCGTTTTCTTTTTGTGCTCCATGAGACTGATGATCGTTTTGTCCAAGTCGTAGTTTTGCGCGCGAACTTGGTCGAGGAGAAAGGTGTCCGAGAGTTGCGATACATCGATCGTGGCGCGGATTTGGGTGATCAAAGGCAGCGCCAACTCTACAGGGGCAAGCACTTGCATGAGAACCATGCAACCAAATGATGAAGAATGCTGCCCACCTGTGTCGTCGAACGAGCCCTCCTCGCCATGCGTCGGTTGGGTGTCCAAGAACGAAAAGACCGAGTTCTGCTTCGTGGGCGAGTCCCGACGATACATGTGCGATTCTAACAGCACCGGTATTCATGTGAGCCGTCGCACAACCACTTTAGCACGCAGTTCTGAGTCATGTCGCCTTCAACGTACGGGCACTAGGGGACGGCTCGTCGTAGTCGTAGTCGTCATCGTAGTCTATGCACGTGCATCAGTCGTTGTCTCCACGAAGCCTGCATCAACGGATCTAGCTTGCTTCTACCTTCATCGTCGTACGAGTACGCGCGGTTCCGGACGTTGCGATGTCGGCTCATATGCGCCGCAGGTCCGCGGTTTCTTTGCGTCTCGTTGTGTTCAAAACCAGGTTCGATCCGATGCCGGGTAATTGTTCGTTTCGATGCGTTTATGACGTGTTTCGAACGAGATCCTAGGGATACAAACACCCGGGTAGTCGGGTTTATACACCGACCAGGCCGGTTATATACCGGGATTTTGGACCCAAATTTCTGGTTTTTGATATGAACCGGTTCTGGACGTTCGAAACCGGTTCAGTTGCCCCCGCCAGCCAGTCAAATTCGATGGTGTGCGCAAATAGGATGTTCAACTTTGCAACTTTCGTCGGGGGAACATGGTGGTGAAGGCGGCCGAGATCGCGCCGGCGGCATACTCGTCCAACAAGAGCAGCAGTGCCGTCACAAAGGAAGATGATTTGACGTACGACCTGGGAAACCTGGCAGCGTATGACACGCACCCATTCCAAGTCAAGAACCTCTCGGACGAGAACGAACTCAAGGCGTACGCCCGCGACAGCGTTCAATTGTTGATTAACCACGTGTTTGAACTGCCGCGGCAGATGACGGACATGGGTCCGATGGCTCAGCTGCCTGTACCCACCACCGTGATCCCTCGCGAGAAGCCGCTCCCGAAGGAAAAGGTCGAGACGCGATGGGAGAAGTTTGCGCGCGAAAAGGGCATCAAGAACAAGAAGGAAGGACGCATGGTGTGGGATGAAGCGAAACAGATCTGGGCTCCCAAGTGGGGTTACAAGCGTGCGAACGACGATTCGGGCGACTGGGCGATGCCTGTCAAGGCAGGCGCGGACCCGTATGCCGACCCGTGGACTGAAAAGAAACAAGAAAAGGCGGAGCGCGTGCAAAAGAACTTGCGCAACCAAGCCAACAATCTGGTACGTCCGTCGGTGTCATCTATCCGCTTTAATACACAGCTGATGTTGTCATTCTGCCCAGAAACAAGGCCGTGGCAAGCAGCCCGCATTTCCCGTCAGCAAAACTCCCTTAGGCGTGCCGGTGGAACTTCTGAACACAGATGACAAGAAACTCAAGCAGCGCGGGAAGGAAGGCACGAAGGCGGCGCTCCAGAAGGTCCAGTTCTCGACAGCGTCGATGGGCAAGTTCGACAAGAAGCGAGAAGGTGAAGGAGAGCGCAAGCACGTCGGCAAGCGAAACAAGTTTTTGAGCGTGACAGGGTCGGAAAAGACGGAGAAGGAACGCAGCATGAACGTGTTGCAGCACCTCCTCGGCCGCGAGGAGAACAAAGGCAAGGCCAAGGCCGCGTCCCACAGCGACGGCGGTGACGACGACGTTGGTGGGAAGAAGGGCAAGAAGCGCGGCGGTCCCAAGTTGAAAAACATCACAAAGGGCGCGGCCAAGCGGCAAAAGACCAAGAGATAACTCGACAACCTATTAACGACGTTTGATCTATTGATATTGCCGAAATATATCGACGACGCAAAAATCAAACTGACACTGGCAAGGATTTCATTCCTTCATTTTTAAATACGAGAAGTCATCACACTTGCAAATGTACAGAGTATTGAAAAATAGGTATTAAATATTGTGTGCATTTTAAAAACTATCAGTAGAAATATCCTACATGTTCCTTGGAGCGTGGAATTCCAGCATGTTGCCAATGCAATGCTCAGGTTAAAATGAAATCAACTAGCGGAAGAAGAGAGCATGGGTGGGTGGCACCATCGAAATCGTTATCGTTGTCGTCTGTGGCACTTCCGCAATATGGGGTTGCGTGCCGCAAAGTCATGCTGATAAGTCGATGATGCTTGGGTAGATGGGTCATTCCTCGCGCCACTTTAGCACGAGGCGCATCATGTGCGTTGCGACGGGATGTCGCGTGATGGACCATTCAGTCGCAACCACATGGATGCTTAACCTCATGACCCTCCAGCTAGCAAAGACATATGAGGAACGAAACATGGCCAAGCGGCACCTGGGACGCAGGTCGCTGGTTGCAGGCGACCGATGGGACGTCTCGGTCCACCGGGACCCCCTCCACCGCCAGATCCACCGCCACCACCACCTCGTCGTGCGGACGAGCGATGATTCGATTTGGGTGCTTCCTAAAACGCCCATCAATACATGTAACCATGACGTACTAGCTCGAAGATGATGCGATGTCGTCGTACTCCGCCAAAAAACGTTGAGAAGCTACAACAACAGCAGAAAGTCACGACACATGGCGGCCACATTAGCACGTACAAGAGCTGGAAGATGCCAAGTATGCCCCAGAACATATCTGGTACGATGGACAGCCGCAGCCACGACCGCTTCTCGATCACTTGTCCCCCAGACACGTACGTCATGTTCCGTTGCGAAATGCCGCGTGGAACAATAAAACATACGGATAACGTTGCTCTCCATTATCCGGACTTCGCGATGGACATTTGAACCGCGTTACATGAGCGGCTCGTTCAACTTCGTGTCGAGGGTGTCGATGAGGCGTGCAAGGAGGAGGTGCTGCTGCTCCATATATGCGCGCATGACCTCAACCTTCGCCACGGACGAAGGGATCTCCGTCGACGAGAGAGCGTCGCGACGCTTCTGCAAGACCAAACGCAGCGCCTTCATCTCGCGCGCCGTGGCTGCATCCCCCTCGTCCGTGATGCCGAACGAAGCATCCGTCATCGTTTGCAGCTCCACGTACAGTGCCGCGGTGAGAAGCGCTTGCTTCGGGACGGGTGTATTGGACAGACAAAAGTCAGGATGCAGCGACGTGAGGCCTGCTTGGCGCACCTTCGCCATGGACGCCTACCACGCACGCACGCATCGATCGTGCATGTCACAGTCTCCACAAACGCGCGAGGGCAAGCGTACCTGGTACAGCGCCGAGTCGGGCTCGAGTGTTTGCAAAGGGGTTTCTAAATCGAGCCGAATGTGCACACAGTCGTGGCTGTTCACAGGCAAGACAAAGCCATGGTACAGCAAGTAGATCCAGTTGGGCTGGCCATAGTTTTCAAGCACTTGCGCGTTTTCGGGAAATGCCCATGCTGCTTTCGTGACGGCCGTCCGACCGTCCTCCGACAGCGTCGTCGTGTGGACTCGAGCGGGGGCTTCGTTCGTCGGGCCTTCCTTGCAGTTGACCATGTCGAGCATGGGGACCAAATGTCGTTCGCCATGCCACCTGCATGCACATGAATCCGGCCCCGTGCATCGTGACGAGTTGTTACCAAATACTGCGCGTGTCCAGGATGAATCGAGCCCATCGATACCGCTCCCATGTGAAGACCGCGGGCGGGAAGATCTACCCACAGCTTCGATCGAGAAACACTCTTGAAAACAACTCGGTCCGACACCTTTGGAAATTTTGCAAACACGACCCGCTGCATCGCTCGATACGATCGTTCAACTTGGTGCTGGTACGCTAGCACGGCCCGATGCAAGTCGACGGCTTCGAGGACGCCAACTTGGGCCTTCCTACACTAAAGTGTCAACCCATGCACGGGCGATGCTGCCCCGTACGAGTACGTCAACGGCACCGCGCCGTCCTCCAACGACGGAAGCATGGCCAAGTATGGCGCATAGGCAGACGCGTCGCGGCGGACAAATGCTTCGTGCATGACGTGGAGCAGCAGCTACACAACGCCATGAGACGCGATCTGACGTAGTGCTGAACGTACTTCGTGCATCTTGTCGCGGTGGCCGGACGTTCGCTCGAGATGTCGAAACACCGCGGCGAGGTCGGCGGTGTGCATCGCAGACGCCGTGTCCATGACGAGGGCTGTTGGAACCGCCAAGTAAATGTCGTCCGCAGCAATGGCTTGCGTAGCAAACGTTCCATATCCCATCCCGTGGCCAATATACTCGACGCGGAGTTTATTGATCAAAGACGAGTGGGCAAGCCACGCGTGAAAGCGCGCGACCTTGTCTTGTGCAGACGACGGGTGGTCGGCAGTCGTGGCGGCGGGCACTGCGTCGACCGCACTGGCGTCGAGATGGACCGAGGGAAACGGCGACAAGGACGCCACCAAATCTTGAAGGAGAAGCTTTCGTTGAAGGCGAAAGGTCACGACCAACCTACCATGACCTCCATCGATTGTGCCCCATGCAAGACAGCTCGTCAAGTGGCTTACAGCATCGCTGGCGACAGCGACGTCGCATGGACAGCCAAGACGTGCTTGTCATCGTCGGCTGACGTGTCCAGCGCCTACATGACACTGCTCGGTCAAGACATCGGTGCGACGGCGCGGCCTACCATGAGGGTGCTGACGGCTCGCGAACGCACCCACCGGGCCACGTTTTCGATCGACATGACATTGCCCGACGAAAAGTCGAGGCAATCTCTCGATTTCGCACACGCAGCGACGTCGGCGTCGTCCATGACGTGTGCTTGAAGAATCGCCCACCCGACGACATCCGTCGTTCTACAAGACAACGGCTCAGCACCCGGTCGCCGCCACATTCCATCCATGCATGCCCAGCCATCGAATGCGGCGAAAGAAGGGCACACATGACGTACACTCCACTCGGCTGGACGCAAATGGACGTAGACGACGGCACGCCAAACGACGCAAGCAAGTGCGCTGCGGACGGCGACAGCGGCGATGGTAGCGCCAGGCGGACGCAGTCGAACGGGTTTGCCGACATGGTAAACCCGTGGTGCACCAGATAGCTACACAAGGTTCTCTTGAGTGAGCGACCGAGCGGAGATTACGCAGTAGGAATGTTACATGTAGTTGTCGTTGTCGCCGTAATCTTCGACGAGTTGGTCGTTTTTGGCACAGCTCCGGTCGGCCAGGATGCGGACGCCGTCGGGGGAGACCTGGTGGAATTCCAGGAATCGAGCGCCGTTGTTGGCCGGTCGCGTCGTCTATGTAAGGTATGACCATATTACGGCATGCAATGAGAGGAAATCGTGCGAGGAAGGGCATCATGGCGACAGGAAGCAATGAGTTCATGCAAACGTACGGGATGGGCCTGGCCATTGAACATGTCCGCAAATGGCACGAGATACCGAGTGCCTTGGATTGTAAGGGCTCGGGAATCGAGCACGGCTCGAGCCCAAATGTAGTCATCCTACCCGACCACCCATCCAGCCATGAGGAGGACGAAGTCGGCGAAGCTGGCGTCAGAGCTCCATACCAAAGTCAAGCCCGCTTTGCGCTTCTTCAAGATGCTGGACAGTTTTTTGGCTAGCGCTGTGAATGCCGCGGCCGTCTCCTTCTTGGCGTCGAAGATGGACTGGATGAGACCGGCATCCTACAATGCCAAATCGACATGCGCGTCAGGTTCCAAGCTGAAAGGAATGTGGAAAGGTACTTGAAGCGCAAGTACTTCGTCCGTGGTAAACGTCATGGGGGATGGAATGGCCTTGGGCAAGACCTACGTGTGCGGAACGCGTCAGACGTGCTGGACGTCCTGGCGAATGCGTACTGCGAGATAAGGGGCCCATTTCGACGCAGGGCCTTTCAAGCGCTCAAGCAGCAAGAACGCAGCAAGCAGATCGTCATCTGCATGAGGACCGGCATGCAGAAAACCACGTGGAAGGTGCTTTGTCATGGTGTCGCGGCAACTAACATGACCATGGAGAGACTGTCGATTCGAGGGGTCGTACATGACAAGCTCACGAGGCAAGTACAGCACTTCGTCCATCTCGTCGATATCGTTTGTCGCTTGGACTCCAATGCCCATTCCAGGGTACACCGCGAGCTGCACGTCTCCAATGCGGCCCCCGTGCTGACGAATCCACGATTCAAACGATCGCAGGTGCATCTCCGTTGTCGGGACTGGCGCTTCAAACGCATGCAGCCATGCAAGTGCCACGATGCCCACCAAGATCGGGACTGCAACCCATCGCCACGATATCGCGGCCATCTCTGGCTTTCCCGCCTTGCGATGCTTGACACCGAAGTTCACCATGCCGATTCCACACCGTCGATGGATCCAACACCCGGCGAATCATGTCGACCTTGTGTCGATTTTCGTGCGTTTTTTCATTCATTTCTCGCGAAGAATGCTCAATTATACGAAAATGGAGCCAATCAAAGTACGAGGATTCATAAATTATGTCATGTCAGTTGGTGTCGCTTGGACGGTCGGGTCGGCGATTTCGACGGTCGCGTGGATTTCCGGACGTGACGGAGCTGGGCGCATGAAAGAGGCAGCTTCTCCAGCGTAAATGAGTCCGTTTCTGGGTCAAAGATCAAGATGCACTCGATGTCCTTGTTCTCGGTGACCTTGCCTTTGAATTCGATCCCACCAGGTGCATTGGCGTGAGCCACGCTGACCACCATCGTGTTGCCGGCGCTGTCGGTGCTGACAAGCCCAGGAACGCGGGTGTCAACGGACGCAGGCTGGAATTCGTACCGAAAGCTGCAGTGCACATCCAAGGATTCGTCATCACTTTCGTTCAGCGATTTGCCCACATGCACAACGTAGTCTTGGCCAACCCGCGGTTCCATCGTTCGAATGTTCAGTAGTATTCCACGAATTGAAAGAATTCGCAAATTTCGTTGGAACGGGCAATAAATATTCGTGAAATTCATTGCAATACACTTATCGTCAAAAATCGCGAATGTTGCGTCGTCGACATTCGCGGTGCACCAACAAGCAGGAAGGCCAGGACCTCGAGCGCCTTCTCGAGCCAGCAATACCTCCATCGACGTGGCTCGCGCTCGTTGCAGGTACTGCTTACACCTCGTGGGTGCTCGGACGCGTCTCCCACGCCATTCCATCCAAGCATGCATCGCCTCTACCCCGCGTGAAGCAAACGGACGCGAATGTGGCGTTCCTGTCGGTTTGGTACAGAAGTCGACATCTCTGAATGCATCTCGTATGAAGCAGCACTCTGCATCCACGCAGGCATGAAGTCAGCCGCAGTGGAGTGTTTGCGGTGTTTACATTGCGTCTCGACAGACGGGTAAGGTCATGCATCCTTCCCCGCGGCGCAGCGAACGCCTCGATGAATCGTACAGGGTCGAAATTACAACGTTTGGCAGACTACTCCACTGCAAACGACACTTTACAATCCATGGGCGGGCTTCTTGTCCACGTGCTGGTCCGCCAGCGACGCGAGGTTCGTGTACGACGGCGATTTCCGCTTCTTGTCCGACCCCCCCTCGGACGCCGCGACCAGCGACAAAATGTCCTCGATCGACGAGTGGCCGCCGGTGGACGTGGTCCCTTTGTCCTTTGTGTTGCTGAGCGAGCTAAAGTTACTAAACGATCCGAATGCGCTGAGACTTCCGAGCGATGGCACGTGGTGGAGGAACCCGTCCGTCGAATTAATGCGCGGCAGCCGATCCATGGACGGTCCCCGCGGCAAGTTGAGGCGGTCCAGGGATGCGATCCTTGGAAACGACGTCGGCGGCTTGGACGTCGACGGCGCTCCCACGGACGTGTGGGTTGCGCTTGTGGGTTTGGGGGGACTGGTTGCGCCGGCATTGCTCTGGTCGTTGCTAGCGTTGCTCGTCGAGTTGCTTGTCGCCGACACTGTAGACGACGGCGGTTTGGTGGTCGGCTCGGGGGGCATGTTGGCGATAAAGTTGGAAAATTGCTCCAACGAACCGACCCTCGGGATCGTGTTGAGGCACTCGAGTGACGGCGACCGGTACAAGCTGCTACTGTCGTGGTGCGGCGCCGCGTGGTGGTGCGGTAGCCGATGCGACGTTGCCGACGTGGTCGGGTGCAGGCTCTGGAAGCAATCCAGCGATGCGATGCGGGGAAACAAGGACGAGAACGAGTCCACCGATGAAATTCGCGGCAGGTCCTTGTCCGAGTGCATCATCGCCAAGCTATGGTCTCGCTTCATCGTGGATGTCAAGACGGTCCCAGCGGACGTTGCCGCCGCGCCGCCGCCCAGCGACAACGCCGAGGCGGTGCCTTCGGCCTTGATCGTGCTAATATTGGAATGCGTGTTTTCAGCTTCCTTTGAAGTAGCGGGAGGGGATTTGGTGTGCTGCGTGGATCGCTGCGACTGCTGCGGCTGGGCCGATACATCGGACGATGGAGGAGGTTGGTGGTGTTGGTGGGCGTACGATGGGGGTGGCTGGAATTGTGACTGGTGATATGGTTGCTGTGGTGGCTGGTACGGGGCGTGCGAGTGCGGATGGGTCATGCCGCCGTGGAGATGGTTGGCGATGTAGCCGGGATGTGGCTGGCCGGGGTGAGGTGGTGGCTGGTGGAGCAGTGTGGGTTGCGTCGGTGGTGTGTACACGATGCTGCGTGCGTTGGAGAGGAGTCGACTGCGGTCGCGATTCACTTCAGACTCGAGACGCTTTTCTCGGCGCTGTTGGTTCATCCGCTCCCGATCGAGGTAGATGCGTTCGAGCTCGGCCAGTTGCTTTCGCGTCGTTTCGATCTCGTCCTTTGTCGGTTCCTTGGACTTGCGGCGGAAAATGATCTGGACATGGAGTGGCAGTGAGTGGAAGATCATGGATGGAATGCTCGAAGACGAGCGATGTCAGACGCACCTTGCCGATGCACTGGTTCCCCGTGTATTTCTTCGATATCCGCATGGGATCGCAGTTGAGCAACTTGCTTAGAAATGTGCGCAACGTCGTGCCTTCCGCAAGCGGGAGGTTCCCGTGCTTGAACTCCTCGATCAACCTGTCACAGTACGCGGCCTCCTCCGACGTCCACTTGCCCTTGCGCATTTTCGCCGAGTGCATCGAGGTATTGCTGCTCTGGTCGTAAGAGTTGTCGAGAAAGACCTCGGGTGGCAACTCGTACACGCTTGCGCTTGCAAAGTGGCCGGCTCCAGCGGACGGACCAGACTGTATCGCATTGTTGTGCACGAGGTGATGGGGAGGCTGTTGTTGCTGGTTCGACGACGACAAAGAATAGCCTGGTGGTGCTTGTGTCGTGTAGTCGGGTTGGTGGTGGTGTTGATGTTGTTGCTGCTGCTGCTGCTCCTGCATGGTCGTCGCGGGGCGGGTGAGTGGAAGATGCCGCTGGATAGGCACACGACAAACCGGACAGATTTTGGCGTTCTGCGTGTACACTTCAATGCATTGATAATGGAATTGATGCTGGCACGGTTCGAGCACGATATTGGGGGGGATCGTGTGGGACATGCACACTGGGCACGTTGCTTGCCGTCGTGTTCCAATCATGCAATTCTGCTGCGGGGGGTATCCTTGCATGTTTCCGCCTTGGTAATATGCCATATCGCCTTTCGACGATCCGTTCATATGCTGTACATGGTCCTGCGACGTCGTCGTGCTGCTGTCGCCGACGGGGGTGGTGCCTGAATTCATCGGTGCGCCTGGATGCATCGAGTTGGTTGTGGATGTTGCATGGTGGTGCTGTCCAATGGATGATGATGATGCACTCATCCCATGTGGAAGAGCTTTCCTCTCCTCCATCTGCATCATTCAAGCGCGTCCGTCGTGGAGAGCGCGTGCCGCCTTGCCGAGCCCGGGGATATTTTTGTATATGTACCACGCGAATACTCTGGCATACTTTATCGCCAATGTTATACCGTCAACGTCAAGTTTAAATCGGATTGGCTGATATTCATATTTTTAGCCAATCAACGCGTTTCCCATGCCCAAGGCTTCTCTCTCAAAAAAGCCAGCGCAATAAAAAAAGTACCCCGAGGTAATACAAACACCCTGTTTAAAGTTTTGAAGGCACCTGTTTCGCGTCAATAAAATGACGCCCCTGTCACACCCACCCTGGAAGATGCGCGATTCCAGGGCCACACACAGGTGGGACGATCGGCATGCTCTACTGCTCGCACGACATACCCGCCAAAGAGCAGGCATACTCAAAGTCCAACGACATCGTGTGCTTTCTTGAGCCGTGCAAGGGTTTAAGCCCTCTGTATGTTGTAACTTCAAGGTCCGTCCGTGTTGATGACACTTGTGGTGCAATCCATGTGAACAATAATCTCACCAAAATATCGTTTTTGGATATTTTGATATCAAGCACATGAAGGCTTCGCTTACGAAAAATTGTCAATTCAACGTTGAATAGTAAGAAGTTTTTAAATGACTTACACAATAGAACAACATTCCTCGGGACATAAATCACCATGGCATATATGGGTATATCTTGTCGTGGTGTCATGTTGGACGAGACCAAATGCCATGCAGCATTGCGTGGTCACCCGAACACAGCGATCGTCGAGGAACTGCGGGAGATGCTGCGACGGGAACCGACGCGGCTCGATGTGAAGGAAGATCTCGAGGAAGAAATTGACGAGTACCATCGCCGAGAAGCTGCACAGAGACACCAGCAGCCCAAACGAGCGTTGGCGAAGCAACCCCGCGACCACGCAAGTTTCCACGACGAGTTTAGTTCGATCTCGCATGTGTCCTCGCACCTCCGACCGTCGACGTCCATGAGGCATGACACTCCCTCCACGTAGAATATATGGACAAATGGTGTCCGAAAATAGTGTTTAACAGGAGAACGGGGCCTTTGTCTCGTATGAGTTTGCCATGCGATGGACGGAGCTGATCACCCCGACGATGGCAACAACGGTACTCGCAACTGCAACGCCGTGCAGGACGCGCGCATGCCCCCGCGTCATTTCGTCTCGGAGAATCACAGGAGCAAGGAGGAACGGAAACACATATGTCGTGGTGACACCGCTGATGGCCCCAACAAACCCGAGGAGGTCATTGATGAACGGCACGACGTTCGAGACGAGGAAACTCGTACACACAATCGAACCAGTGATTCCAAGCCACGCCGTTCGATTCGCGACGGACGCGTGCTTGCTCTTTTCGTGTGATCGGTGGAGCACCCGCTGCTCGACTGCCCGCGCGAGCACCATGACCGCCATCACATAAGCAACCACAATGTGGCACAAGATGAAGATCGAGCACCACCTACACATACATTCTGCATTAAAAGACTGGAAACAGTCGTGAAGGCACTGATTGGTTGAAATCCACCAATGAGAAATGTTGTACCGGCGCATCGTCAAGTTCGCCATGTTGTTCGTGATGGGATTTGTCACGACTTCACCGACAAAGTAGTAGCCCACGACGGCCATCGGGATGTACACGACCGTGAAGAAGGATGTGGCGGCAACGATCGACTTGGAAAATTCGCGTGGATCGCGCATTTCCGACATGATTTCTACAAAAAAGACGTGGCCAGACCTACACTCGCATTAAAAGAACAAATAATCCTTTAAAAGACACACATAGCACGTACATTGCAAACACCACATCCATGCAAGCGACGACGGCGGCGTCGAAAGTTGCATTCGACACCCACGACGTCGTTGTCGGCTGGACATTCCCGCGCCACGCGATCTCGACTAGAAGGCGACGTTGGAGTCGAGGGCAGCTCCACGACACACGTACCAAGGATGACTAGGATTGGGACGATCATGGACACTGCGCCGACCACCGCGATCGAGTTCATCTCGGTGAAACTGCGATACTGCGCCAAAGGGAGAACAAGCGCGGCCACCATGAGGGCGCAGTAGACGAAGCAAAGTCCGTTAATCATTTCTTGAAGGAACAGCGATGCAGTCAACTGGAACGAAAACTACGCAGGTTCATGACGTTGCGAGGTGAAGACACACGAAGACTTACACAGGTCCCGATGATGTATGTGTACCCAAAGAGAGTGACGAAGGCTTTCCCGAGGTTGCCGTACGCTGCCCAGAAAATGAGTGGCAGGACGATGGGGTGAACGGGTGCGAATACCTTCGTAACCAAGGTCGGCGAATACGACCGCGTGGGGAACGTGGCATTTCATGCGAGTCATGAGGATGCCGCTGTAGAGAGAGCCTGCCAGCGTAGATACAAGAAGCAGGGCGCCCCATCTAGTCACAGCACGTGAGGGAAAGCTCGTATTGTGATCATACGGACATCCATCCGAGCTTGGAAAAGGCGTGAGCGAGGCCCAAAACACCGATGCCGACGACGTTGGCGACCACGATAAACATGCTGTCGATCCATGTGTTCTTGCGCTGTTCTCCATCTCTCTGCAGATGGGCTTTCATATCGTCTTCGCCATGGCGAAGCGGCTGCGATGTTGGCAGCAGCAACGGCGCTCTCAGTTCCATGTTCGACCCAAATCTTTGTTGCCCATGGGGGCGGTATCCGGATATTATTCGGATCACGACGTTTCGTCAAATGATCGGATTTTGGAGAGAGCCCAGGAAGTGGAGGGCGACCCAGTGCGTCGCCGCCATGAGGCCGCGAGGACGCCTCGAGGTACCACCAGGGGGTGCGTTGTGCTGGAGTACGCAGAGCTCGTCGAACACTTCTTGTGACAGATGGTCCTCCCCGCAGTCGAAGGAGTGTTCGTTGACGCCGACAGGGGAGTCCGAGGGCGAAACACATACAGAGGTAGTGTAATGGAGCTAGAATTTTGGTGTGGACGCTAGTCGTATCAGCGCAGACCGCTTCTTGGAGCTCCTGTGCTGCGTCGCTAAAGATCAAAATCCAGACCGATTGTATGCGTGGATAACTATAGCTTGAACCGTACATTATACACTCGACAACATGGCCATGACGGAAGTGCACTTGCCATGCACGCCGCCGTGGCAGTTGACACCCCTGGATTCGTTGCATGTGCACGATCTGTATGAACGGCCATGAGGTTTTGCAGGACGTCGACGAGGGAATTGCCAGTGACTTCGCCCCAGGAGGGAGCGGAGGGACTCAACGCGGTGGCCTGAACGACGGCATACAATGCGTTGCAATTGACTCTCGTGGGAATTTTAGCGAGGGCGTCCGCAGCTGGAGGCTCTAGGTTGTTCAGTACTGCAGTGAACCCAGCATCCGCTTGGCACAATCGCAACGTCCAACAAGATAGGGGCAAAGGAGGGATCGCGGTCCGTCGTGGCGCGCGCAGCGGTGAGAACGGACGATAAAGACCCAAGGATCGTCATGACGAGTACACCCTGGAACAAGGGGGACGTGGCAGTATCGTGTCGGAGGCGCAATGCGATGGCGGTTGGTGTTGGCGATGGAATTGTACTTTGGAAAGCCGCCGTGTTGTTGGCCATTTCAAACCGTCATGGAAGATGCGCGCGCTGTACGTCGGCTTGGTTTTTGCTGTGTTGAAATTACGACGAGTCACATGGCCAAGAAATCTATGCCGTTCCATTGCGCGGCGATCTTTTGCGGTTGGATCAAGGAACAAAGTGCACGAAACCCGCCCTTCGACCTAATGTCCGCGCTGGCGCGACTCCATCGTTCGCTTGAGAGGTCGCCCTTGGCGCCCCGTCCGAGCCCTCCGACCCACGGCCGAAAACCATGTCGATAGATCGACTATAGAAGAGTAAATGGCGACATGCGCGGCGCGAGGAGGTGCCAAAGATGCGTTCGACTGGGCAAGTCTCGGGTCGCCCTCTGCGAACCTCTCTCGACTCAAATTCGGTGCCCATGGCGGCTGACCCACCGTCATCAACGTTCACTCGAGGAAATTTTCATGTACGCGATCCGTTGTCGCGGAAAACGTCCATGTCATTCATAGATAAAGACGGGCTTGAGCTTAGTCGTGTGGCCGCGAAACGCCGAGCCGTCGGCAAGCGCCCACTCGAGAGCGACCGCAATGCCTTGTCCAGAGGAGACTGGGCATCTCGGCGTCATGCACTGGAGTACGCCACTGGGACACAACCCACGTGAGACCACAACGATTCCCAACCAACGCTCGAGGCAAACGCGTACTTGGTCACAGTGGCTGGCACGACGGCTTCAAACCCCATCGACGACGCGAATCGCACGCGGATCTGGCCAGTGTCGACGAAATGGTCGCCGAAGATGCGCAGCTCGGTGCCACCGGCCTTGGGTCCTCGCGCCGGCGCGAGGGTGGTAAAGACGGGCTCTTGTACAAAGTGGACGAGGGTCGGCGAGTCGAGCCTGCGGCCAACATCCATTGTGAAGACGAGTTGTCGCTGCCCAGGCATGCCTCCCTCAAACAAGGACGCGGCACGTACGTGGAATCCAGTTGTAAGTGGTTCCCGACCGTCCACGTGCCCGTGAACTGTTGGCCATTGAGTGCCACAGCGACGTCGCAGCGTCCTGTCCATTCCATGTTTCAAACCCCAACCGTCCATTCCACGGATGGATGCAGCAGACCTGGGGCGAACGGCGGCGCTCGACACACCACGCGATGGTCGCGATCAAGCGTTCCGTCCACGTACTTGGTCGTTTTCCCGTTCGAGAACGCCACGCGAATCGCGCCGCCAAAGTCGCGCAGGCCCGCGCCATCGATCACGACGTCGTCGTCGCCCCGACACGACAGAAACTTGGTCGAAATGGACGATAGCCGCGGCGGCGCAAAGTAGCAAAAGTGCTGACCATATCCTGTAAAGACCGAGTGCGTACACGGCTCAAACTCGGTCAGGTCGCTGAAGTAGTCCACGCCATTCAGGGTTAACTGGCATAACCATGAGCGCTGGCGCCGTGGGAGAGATCGCAGAGACGACGTACTTCGACCAGCGCCATCGCGTGCCCTTCGCCCGGCTCGAGCGTCCATGACGGTGTCCTGCAAGACAGCGTGAGTCCGTCCATGGACTTTGTCATTGGAACGTCATGGACGTCGTGGTAGAGTTTGGCGCCGCGGAATCGCAAGTGGCACCGAAACGTGTCGGGAATGGGTACACCCACATGCAAGTGGAGGATCGTGCCGCCCGTCGCTGGACCTTGCAGCGGCGCATACCGGCGTAGCTTGGGCGGGGCGTAGTACGTGAACGGCGCCTTGGGTGCCACGGGAAAGAACACGATGCCGCCATCCAGGCTCACCTGCAGCGCCATCGCTTCCGTCTGCGAATGACTTGCCAGCACATTCAAGTGAGATGAATTTCGTTGTGTGTGCCAAACCATGCCAGCCATCGTTCAAGCAACGCAAACGCCACGATTCGTTTCAAACAAGCACATGGCGTACCGAAACTGGTCGACCATGGCGTTCCGCGGCGTCGTGCAATGGATAAACTTACGGCAGGACGAGACGAAGCCGGGGACGGTTTGAAGGAGCTCGGACGTGTGCAGGACGTAAAATCGCACGCGGATGAGGCCATGGGGATCGTCGAAGGTCGAGTCCTCGAGAGCGATGTTGGGACGGTCGTCGTGGCTGCGGGCGTAGCCAAACTGCAACGGGTCAGCATCGATTCCTTCCAAGAGGATGTAACCACGTACAGAGAGGCGAAGGTGGAGGTCCGTGCCGCCCATGGACACTCCATGCGCCGGCGACACGAACTCGCACGAAGGCTTGAGGTACACAAGCAGCGGAGCCGCCGTCGTCGAACTGAAATGAGCACCACCGTTGACGGAGACTGCAACGTCGTAGTGACCAGGGTCGTTGAACCGAGGGCTTTGAACGACGAGCGTCGTCATGTCGTTCGTGGCCAGCATCGCTTCGACCTGGAGGAGCGGCCATGAGCGTCAGGCAGTGTATGCCACAATGTCGACTATCACCTGGTAGTGCCGCTGGTCATGTTGGGATGACGAAATTGGTGTGGCTTTGGTGAAGCGCACGATCGCTCTGTGGTTGCCGCCGGCATCTTGCCGACGACGTACCGCCGGAGCAGCCAAATGCAGCCCATGGATCTGCAACGTTTGTCCTTCGATGTAATAACATGATGGCGGCGACACCCCTGTCAAGATCGGAGGTGCGAAAATGGTAAATAGGCCGTGACCTCGCCAAGATGTCCATGAGGTTTCGTCGGGCTCTGTGATCGATGCTGCCGCCGTGAAATCGATCAAATTGAACGTCATTTGAAGCGAGTACGTGCCGACTGCAAGATGTGCCGGTAGATGCACGGACACGGCCACTCCATCGGTCGCGCCGTCGTCAGGCAGCACGACGTTGCCTCGAAGCGACTCGTGCACGACTTTCGTCGTTGTAGATGTGTGCAAGAGGACGCGAAACACCATCGAGTGAGTTTTCACGTCCAAGGCAAGGCGCTCACGTTGCGTTGGGGCATGCACATGCTGCGGTGTCTCGGCTAAAGTCAACCGCATCGACAGATCCACTTGATCGCTCGCGACGGCGGCAAGCGACACAGCAAGAGGGCTTACGTGGAAAATGGACGGCTGCTGGTAGTATACGAATGGCTGCTTGCACTGGACGTAGGGACTGCCGCGAACAGATATCCACAACGATACAGTTCCCCACGACTTGCACGTGGCGTGAAGCAACGGGCAGGTGTACGGGACAGTTTTGCATTCGATCTTGGACGAGTTGAAGATCGTCGCCGCCACGGACGCGAGGATCGTGTTGCCGTGCATGAATCGGACCTTGGCATCGTCGAGATCCGTCGGTTGCGCCCACGACGGCGTGAGCGCCACCGGCGATGCCTGCAGATCCGTATTACCGCAAAAATTGAAGCCAGTGCCATGGATGATGAACTTGGTGCCTCCAGTGGATGGTCCGCATGATGGAGATAGCTCGTTTGCATCGAACGGCGGAATTTGCACGCCAGCGGGGTCGTCCAGCGGCAGCGACCCTCGCATGGCGGTCCACGGGCCATGAAACGGTCGGAGCATGCATTCCTGAAAAAACGTGGGAAAATAAAACCCGATACGTTTTATTCACGTTTGTCCATATAACGTGCGTTTAAGATCCACTTGTTGAGATAACCCTATATTACTTAGACTGGGACGAGAGTTCAGTTTGAGGGGGTGCGACATAGGGGTACCTCAAAAACAAGCTCCCATTCAAATACATGGGGGGGTACCACTAAAGGACAAACCCGAAACCTGTTCGGTTCCCATTACCAACTGGGTCCGCGTCGTGCTTCCGCGCCGCCTCGACCGATGCTTCGACGACGGATGCCCCGCGCTTCCTTGGCTATGTTGCTGTGTATTGTCGCGTGTGTTCTTCACGTGACCGAAGCTGCCGGGCCAGGGAAGGACTGCGCCAAGACCGTTTGCACAAACAAAACCAGGTGGGGCGGCTTCGTCAAGGACACCAACGGCGCCAAGAACTGCCCATGCAGCGATGGACCGACGTGCGACTGTTTCCAAGGCGAACCAAATTTCTTTCTGTGCTTGTCGTTGGCAGGGGACTACTTGGTGGGGAACCCCGCGGTTGGCGACAAGTGTGGCGATCAGCAGTACGACTGCCGTGAGTCTCCATCCTTTACGTTGCAACGATTGTTTCACCAACTTGCCTTCTGATGCACAGGCAACTGCCCCACCACACCCAGTATCGCGCCCACGACAACTCCCTTGTTTTCATCAATCACTGCGACTCCAGGCGGCAAACCAAGTCCCAGCAGTTCGTCTCCAAGTACGGTGCCCGTCTGCATCCACCGGAGTTGCTTTGACGTTTTCGTTTAGATAACTTGGTACCCGGGGCAACTACGACTAACCCAGCGGCTATACCCATGGACACGACCCTTGCAATGTGGCAAGTTGCCCTTGCCATCGCGTCCGGCGTCCTCATGCTCGTCGTGCTCGTGTGTGTCCTTGTATCGTGGCGGAAAGCATGCACTGCGTCGCGGGCCACCGACAAGCATGCCCATGAAGATGCTCGCTTCTACAGGGACAACTATCGATCTCAGACGTTCCAGCAGTCGCATCCGCCGCAGACTGCCGCGTCGCATCGCCGGTCGTCCTTGGCGCAATCCATGTTGATTGACCAGACGCCGACACAGCAGCCGCGTGCACCGCCGCCGCCCGTGGTGTCGTTTTAAGTTTTGTACTGCACACCACGAATTCTTTTATTTCCGACGCGAGCGGTCTTTTATGTAAGAGTTTGTTCTTTAATGTGTTGTTTTCTTCCGTTCAGTCAAACAGGGGGTGGGTTTTAATTGCGACCACGTTTTTAAACTCGTTCTTTTATTCTCCCATGGTTACTTGGCCGCCTTCAATGCTTTCTTCAAGCGCACCTTTTCCGCGACAATGTCGGCCAGGACTTGCTCGTACAGCGTCGGGTCGACCGCTTCCTTCTTCTCCTTGAATTGGACCTCGACTTCGCGGAGGGTGTCCAGGCGCTCCTGCATCTCCTCCACGGACGTTGCTGCCGACGGGGCATCTGCTTGCAAGGCGCCGGCAGGGATTTCCGCGTCCCCTTGGCCTTCTTGGCCGTCCGCGTAGCGGCCGCAGTTCTTGATGCGGATGTCGGCAGATGGCCGGCCGTGGGGTGAAGATCCATACGACGAAACCTTCTCGACAACGTCCATCCCTTCAATCACTTTGCCAAACACAACGTGCTTGCCGTCCAGCCATTCCGTGTTGGCCGTGCAGATGAAGAACTGGCTGCCATTCGTGTTGGGGCCTGTTGAACGGTCGTTTTAGCGCATCACTGTCAGCAGATAAAGAGACCTGCATTCGCCATGCTGAGCGTCCCAGGACCCATATGCGGCACGGACAAGTTCTCGTCGGGAAAACGCGCGCCGTAGATCGACACCCCGCCGGTGCCGTTGCCGTTGGTAAAGTCCCCGCCTTGGATCCTACAATTACAACGTCATGGAGACAGGTTGGGATGACGCGTAGGCGCTAACATGAAGTTTGGAATGATGCGATGGAACGGGCTGCCCTTGTAGTGCAATGTTTGGTTCGGATGACTCTTCTCACCCGTGCACAACGCGACGAAGTTCGCGACCGTCTTGGGCTGGACGTCGTCGTAGAGCCCCATGACAATCTTTCCCGCGTCGCGGCCGTCAATGGCCACGTCAAAGAAGACTTTTGACCGTACGTTCAGCTTGGACAACATCGTGAGAACGTTTTGGACGCGATGCCCACGACACTCACCTCGACATTATCGCCCGCCACTCCAAGTTGACGCTTGATCGATTCATAGCTGGGCAAGACACCAATCGACGTACCGACAAAGTACCCTGCGGCAAAGAGACCGCCGAAGAGAACGGCAGTGCCGAGGCCTAGGCCCGACGATGGTTCATCGAGCGGCGTCGGCAGCTTCGGGTTACTCTTATTCACCGTCGAGAAGCATGCGCGCTTCTTCCCCTACACGCGCATGCATGCCACGGTTGAAGTCCTCCATTTGATCACTCTGCATGAAAGAGGCGTCGTCTCTACCGCAAAGATCGTGCATCGTCGCGACAGCAGCATACTTGTGCTCGTGAGGTCCACCGACTCAGATCGATGGTCGTCCTGTCGATTTAGTACCTTGATGGTAGTACTAATCACCTCCCTTACTAGTTCATTACTGTAGTTCATGTAGTGTTCGAGAAAATTTATGGTAACATGGACGTAGTATGCTTTTGGTTGTTTAGGGTCCATCTGTACGTTGTTTTTTTCCGCCGTGGATAAAACGAGCGGTGAACCATGCTGATGG